ATAGTTTGAACTCACATATACCTTACAATCAACTGGTTCAAAAGCATCTCACATGTAAATCATCATGCGACAACCCTCCACCATATAAAAAGTATGAAACACTCTCCTGATGCATGTGAATCCCGCTATTCGATTCTACCGAACTATCATTTCGAGTTTTGGCAGAAAATAAAAGCACCAGTTTTCAGTGGGGAGGAAGGGTGGAAGGAGGTATGTACCTATTGGAAATAAATTTTCAGTATAGGAAAAATTATAATTTCTGATACGGTACATAGGTGGAGGGACCAGTGTGAGGGAAAAACAAAGTAGCATTCCTCGAAAGCATCCCAAGAACAACCTAAAGGATTAGATCCTCACAATAGAGGATCATACATGGGAGACCACGCCACATCTTACCAGGTATACAATTCACCCAGTTTGGAATGATGTGTTTCAGACATGGGGAAAAAAGGAAGGAGCACAGCCCTATGGGAGAGAACAATGGTGGGATAGGGATCCGAACCACCATATAACAAATTCAAATCCCACAGACTATTGGAATTTGTGGGTGAAAGTAAAAGGATGTGCCCCTAGGTGTAGAGTGGCTCGGGCACAACGGACCATACATGGCAAGTCAATTGCATCCAAAACCTAGGCTGCCTGGAACTGACATCCATGCGTGGGTAGCATGAGGATCATACCATCGGTAAGTCAACCACAATCCAAAACCCAACCACCGGGAACCAACATCGATGTAGGGGTACAAAAGAGGATCATACTACCAGCAAGTCAACTACAATCCAAAACCCAGCCATCTGGTGGGGTAGGAAAGAGGATCATACTGTCTTCACCCTCAAGTTCAGCAGATCAGAGGGAATCTCATACTCACCGATCTATGGACAGGACACATGACAGCAATGTGATAAAATGTTTGATCGATCTGGGAACCCAACATCTGGACGATCGGTATTGGAAAGATGTCTCTATAATGTAAACTGTCCCCAGTGCAATAACATCCTTGGTATAAGAAAATCATCGAAGGATAGCATAAGAGAAAGAACTGTATTAATCTGCAAGTTTCACCACCATGACCCACAACATGGGTGGAGGGAACAAGAGTGTAATTGAGTGAAGAAAGAGAAACACCTGTAATACATGTGTGAAGATTTATGTTGATCAGTTCAGCTCTGAATCCAAAACTCTGCCACTTGGAGCCAACATCCATGTGGGGGTAAGATGAGGGATTCCAATCGAAGGGGTGAACTGCAATTCTGACTGTTCACTCCAAAGCTACAACATCTCCTCGAACATACTCATAGAGAAATGGTGCATCAGATGGAGGACATCTCATCATCTGCACTAGCAGAACACCACCGCCCTACTCTCAACTGAATGGTTTTATCATTATTTGTATCGTATATCATTATCACATTCAGGAGGATGCCTCCAAGGTCCATCACTCCAGCGATTTGGAACTTGAAAGTGGTAAGGACTTCCATACTCTGCTGGAAGAAAAAAGGGAGATGAAAAATGTGGTGGAGAGTCCACAGAAATGACAACAATGGAGAAAGTGCAACAGGTGACCATGAAAACCTTATTTTGAAAATCAGACCATACCTGATTTATTCAATGAAAGGCATGGCAGGGATGGACAGCTATCCCCTTCTGCTTTCCCCATGAAGTCCACTGGTGAGTACAGTCCAAAACAGGCATATTAATGAGTCAAATATGTCGCAAGAAAACCTATGAGACATATTTTGGAACACCCCAACTCAACAGTGTGCATTTATTGGCCATGGAAATTATAACTGTTAAGTCAACATAGCCTTACAGTGTGAATTTGACTAGTTTAAGTAAACCTGGACAAGCACCACTCACAACAGAGTGAGATCCATAAAGAAAAAAATGGACATTCCCTAAAAAACAAGAGGTATATATACGAAAAAGGTATCTTACAAAGTCACAGTCTCACCAAAGAGTGAAGGATGGCAACAGGTGGAAGAAGGTACGCCAATGAGGAAGAAACAGGTACTTGAAGCAGATAATGGGAGATAAACATATGAGGTGTAGTCCCTGTGCTCAACAGAAGAAGTACCTTCAATATACGATGAGGGTGAGATGCAGGTAAAAGGAAGGTACCTAATCAGAGTGAAGACACCAGGAATTGATGATAGGGAAAAAAGAGACAAGGAAGAAAAGGTCAATCGAATCAAAAGCCAAATCCAAAAAGTGTGGGAGGAAGGAAAAAGTCACAAACAGAAAAGTGGTTCCAGAGACTGAAACAGCAGGAAAAGGAACCAACAGAAAGAAACCTTGAAGGAAATGAAGCAACCCAGAACAGGTATGGGACCTACAAGACCAACTGGATCCGACTGAGATTAAAGGTGGGAGATGGAAGGAAACGAAGAACCTTCCCCATGAATCACCAAAGTGGAGGGTAGGAAAAATTGATCCAGAAAAAGATCCCAAAAGTAAAAAAGCCATGTTTGTAGGGAAAGAGCCCAAAATGGCAATAGCCCCAACATGGAGGTAAGGAGGAGAAAGGCGTGCAATAGTGTGTGAAGGTTGGGTAGTCTTCAAAAACAAATTTAATTGTAAGAAGTATAAAAATATAATTAATTACTAAAAATGAAAAGGTCGTCATATTGTATAATTAAGTAAGTGTATATTGACAATAAAATTTAGTAGATGATATTTGTTGAAGAAACAATATATTTAACCTAATTTACGATTTACTAGTAAGATGAATGACAGGTAAGCCTACAAATTCACAGACACGTGTTAAGCCTAAACTAACGTTGTAGTACAAAAGGATATCATTAAATGTTAATTTAAAAACCCTAACCTTACAAGAAATAGGTGCAAATCTAAATAACATATGTTATTGAAACCAAATAACTACAAATAATAATATTAATATCAAAATATTCAAAAAGCTGTAACAGTATAACAGTTTATCTGTCCAAAGTTGGTGTACCCAAATGTGTGGGCCACCAAACTCAAGGCTCGATGAAGATTAACTCATATAATGATCAATCTCCCAATGTATTCAAACTTACAATTCCCCAGTCAAGTACCGCCACCTGAATCCTAGGTAATTGTGTTGGAAGTAAATGATAACATTTTAGAAGTGAAAATATAAGTTTCAGTGAAAAACAAAAAGGAAGAACAATAAAGGTAAGTTGTCACTTAAAACAGGTAAAGTGAAGTAGAAAAACGAGAAGTGATAGTTCAGTAATGTTAATTAGGGGAAGTCACATGTGTCAGGAGAGTGTCACACTTTTATTGATGGAGAGTTGTCACATGATGATTTACATGCGAGATGCATTTGAACCAGTTGACTGTAAGGTACATGGAAAACTCAAGGCTTGTGGCATGCAAAAAATGTTTTTTGCATATAGAGTGAAGTACTGACCGAGAATAGCTATTTATGCAAGCAGATGTAATGTATCATATTGGAAATAGTGTATACCACTATTATACTTAACTTCATTGAGATTTACGATACCCTAAGTTAATTTTTCTTAATAAAATGAAAATAACATTTTTGTCATATATCTTTGTTTATTTTGTTGTTAAGCCCAAAGCTACGGCACAGGCTATCTAGTGTCTACTGCTGGGATTAAAAACTTCAAACTGTTTGTGAAAGTAGGTATCAATTTCACAGCAAAAAATGCATTTGCAATTTGGAGAAAACAGCCTAAAGAAGCTATCATTTTAACTTACACTTACCTGTTCTTCTTCAAACTCTTCATTTTCATAAATTCTCTTATTGTTTGTGCTGACAAGTAAAAACCCACTGAGCTTGTCACAGAGTTGAGTAATGGTAGAATTTGTCTTCTTGTATCTAGATACTAGCTTTTGTACCTTCAATAATTGTTTATACACATTACACTTAACAAATTTGGGAAGTGACTACAAGCTCAATTAACAAACAAAATTGATGTCTCTAAAGAAATATATTCTGTATAATACTGTTCTTTTAACATACTTTAATTTATGTTAGCTATTATAAGTATACATACAATCGTCATGAAAGGTTTAAGTTATAGTAGCAACAGACTTTTTAATTTTTTAAATGCTGTGAACTTAAGATATTTTTTGTCAGATCCAAAGTAGCTGATTATATTAAATAACTCTTAAATATATATTTTGCAATTCTTTAATCATTTAGAATTTTTTTAAATGCATGACATTACCAACCTTCTGACAATGGTGTCTACAGTCAGCTATATAGTAATGAACCACATTTGAAGAAACCCACGTGAGAGTTGTTAAACCAGGCTGGATACGTTTGTCAAGAAAACGGATTTTCTGTCGAAACAATCCTTTCTCTTCAGGAGACAAAACAGACATAATCCTGTAGTTGAACGCAATTAAAAGAAAAAATTTAATGTGGAATTCCATAATATTTATAGCTTGAATATTAATCTATAATTATTTACACAAAATAACAATCAATCATAAATAATATAAAACTACTCATATTACCATTCATTGTCTCTACACACTAAGATGAGAATCTTACTATTGTGTGTACTATACCTACTAACACTATATTATATTGCAATGCAAGTTTCAAAAATCTAAGACACACTATCATGAGTAAGATAAACTAATGAGTTCAGTTTAAAATAATTACAATAATATACAAGTTTCTGTTCATCACATTGAAATAGTCCATTGCAGTAAATAACCCTTAAAATATATTTCCAAATTATTTAACCAACAGTATTTCATGACACTACAACAACAGATTTTAATCCCAAAATATTTCATCTACAGTATTGTAATACCAACTATAAGACAATCTCTAGTCCACTTGTATATAATACCAATCATCATTAAAAGACAGTCACTGTATTATTAGCTAAGTGTTACGAAAGCGGAAGTCACATGATGGTGGAAGCAAGTGCGCTTGAGTTTCTAGAAGGATCTTGACTGTTTCCTGGGAACTCTAGTCTTTTCTAGGTGCCCTCTATTTTAGTATATAAGCCCGGCAAATAAAGCGGAGAAATGATAGCAGATTGAAGATAGATA